CTATTCACACTGTTCTAAAGGTTTCATTTAATTCTCCGTGAGGCAAAGCAGTATTTTTATCACGTTTACAGGTGAGTGAACTGAGGCTAGGGCAGGTGAGGTGAATTGTCTGAGATCACATAGCAAGGATGGGTAGAGCCTGGACCTCAGCAATCTGGGCCCAGACACTGGGCTCGGGACCACTACCTTTCAATCTCACAAGTCAGAGACAAGAGAAAGATACTGTCAGAACAGTGGGGACAGGAGGAGGGAGGGACAGAATGAGGTTGGGAGAGGGGTGGGAAGTGGTAGGAAGAGAAACATCACAGAAGGGCCAGGGACTTGACGTAGCTCAGTGGTTCTGCCGCCTGCCTCAAATGCACAGGAGAGTTCAATCCCGGGTACCAAAAAACAAAAACAAAAAAAAATCACAGGAGGGCAAAGAATGGGGCAGATGAGTAAGGCAGACTGTCCACACCCCCACTCCTCTTGCTGGACCATCCCTTTGGCCTGCAATTCCTTCCTGTGGGGGTTAAGATGGTATCCTACTGACCGGAGCTTTGCTCGCTAGAGAGGCATCAGGAGCTGAGACATGGTGCTGGCCAGGTGAAGCACACAGCTCCTCAATCCCCACAGGTGGACCAGTCTGCAGCAGGCATCAACCAGGTACTCAGGCAGATGGGGAGACGGCAAAGAGAAACAGATGGAGATACAGAAGAGAGACAGGCAAGAAGAGGGGACAGCAGGGAAAGACCTCGAAAACCAAAGATGGAGAATGATACAAAGAAAAAGTGTGACAGGAATAGAGAGTCACTGAGAAAAGACAGATTTCAAGGGAGAGGGAAGACAAGGAGCTTCTAATACAGAAACAAATTAAGAGAGGGACTGAAACCAGGTACAGTGGCCCATGCCTGTAAACCCAGCTACTCAGGAGGCTGAGGCAGGCAAGAGAATCACAAGTTCAAAGCTAGCCTGGGCAACTTAGGGAAACCCTCAAAACTAAAAGGGCTGGGGATGAGGCAAGATGAGAGACTTGAGAGAAAGAAGAAAAGGAAGATGTGGGCTGCGGAGATAGAACAAAAAAATTTGAGGTGGAAACTGGAAGGATGAAAGTTGCACACTCACTCAAATGCAACTATTTACTGAGCACATATGTGCTGACCACTGTTTTAGGTGCTGGGGTAAAGATATGAGCAAGATGAATATTTTATTTATTTATCCATACCTGAGATACATCACCAGCCCTTTTATTTTCAGGCAGGGTCTCACAAAGTTGTAAAGTTGTCAGGACTGAGCTGTCTTACACTATCCTCCAGCCTCAGCCTCCCAGAGTGCTAGAATTACAGATTTATGTCACCACACCCACAAAAATCTTGACTCCTGAGGAGCTGGCATTCCAGAGGGCAGCCCCCAGTCAAGAGAAAAGAGGGAAGAGCCAGGAGTTGGAGAGAAAGCCAGAGACCCAAAAACAGAAGACCCATCACAGAGCCTGACCCACAGGGTTGGGGTGGGGTCAGAGAGGGCACAGCTGACAGGAGCCAGGGAGGGGGCCACACTGCAATCCCAGCACTCTGCAGGTCGAGGCATGTGGATCATGGGTTTCAGCCTACTCTGGGCAATTTAGCAAGACCTTGTCTCAAAAAAGTGGGGGAGAGGGCTGGGATGCAGCTCAGTGCAAAGGTGCTGGGTTGAATCCCAAGAAAAAGGAGGAAAAGGAAAGGGGGAAAGGGAAAAAGGAAAACAGAAAAGGCAGGCAGACAAGCTAACAGGTCGGAAGAACCTGCAGAGGAGAGTGAGGTCAAGACAGAGTGGGGACAGATATTCTGAGGACGATGAGGACATGACAGAGGCAACAAGAGAGAAAGGGCGCAGTAGGGAGAGAAAGATGAGCAGAGAAACAGACTGGGAGTGAGGAGGACTCTGAGACAAGACAGTGAGATCAACATAAATGCTAAGACACTCCCACTCTGCGGCACCCACACCAGGCAGGAAGGCTGCACCTGGAAGGACAGGGAGGGGCACAAGGTGGACCACATTCAGGAGCAGTTTGGTACTGACTCGGCCCCACCCATGCAGGCCCACACCCCTGCAGCCGGTGCCCCACAAGGGATGTCTGTCCATCACGACCTGGCCTGATAGTGGTGCCTACTGAGAAAGCACTCATGCAGGTGCACATGCAGCAGCAGGGGAGCCAGGCAGGGCGCATAAGCACCAGGACTGAGGATTGGGGGGCCTTGTTTGGGGATGGGCAGCTAACAGGCACTCGCCCTTCCAGTTTGCCCTGCTCCAACACAAAACCCACAGAAATGAAATCACGGTTAAGGGACACCAGCATGGAAGCTCTCAGGCACGATGATCCCAGCGCAGCTGCTGCAGCTCCTAACGCTCCTGCTTGTGCTGGGTCTGGGCTGAGGTGCTCAGGAGCAGATGCTCACCCTCATGCCTACAGCGCTACCAGGGCAGGAGAACTTGCTGCAGCTGATGTCTGGGAGACTGAACCCTGCACTCTTGGAGGCGGCCCAGGAAGTAGATGGGGAAACAGAATTCGGGGTGCATGCAAGTAGGGTTGGGGGATAGAACTCCTAGTTCACTGAATGAAGACAGCTGAGCTAAGGGACGAGGAAGAGGAAGGCTGTGGAGCAAGGGATCGGGTCCTTCTGGACACCAGATCCTCGCAGCTCTCCTGCCACTGGTGCCGCAATCGGTGTGGCTGGGACTGCACACTGCACCGATGCTGAGGGCTACAGGATACGTTAGTACCACATACAGATACATTCTCTAGCTTCTGAGCCTCAGTGGTTTGGGAACACTTCTTACATGGAGATGGTGAGGCCTAGGAGATGGAAGCGAGGACTCAGACCTGCCAGTCTGGGCAGACAGAGTGGAGCTGGGAATATGGGGTAAGGCCTAACAAGAGAATTCAAAGCCAGCAAGGGCAAACTGTGGGACAGAGCTAAAGCAGAGGAGTCCAACTGAGGTTTATGGTGCAGACAGAAGGAAAGAGCCTGAGTCAGAGCTTTAAAGAGCAGACACAGGTCAGAGATTAGGACCAGCAAAGGTGGGTTCAATGTGTGGGTAAGACCAAGGCTGGTAACTAGGGAGTCTGGTAAAGAAACGCGAACTGAGAGGAAGTTGGCTCCTGGAGTTTCCTAGAGTTCAAGAACCTAAAAAGTGTGCAGTCAGTGACTGGGTGCTTCCCAGATGAGGAATGGCCAATTCCCCAGCCTTCCCCTTTTTTGGGGGGGGGGAACAGGATCTCACTATGTACTTGAGGCTGGCCTCAAACTTGCGGCAAACCTATCCTCCTGCCTTACAGGTGTGCACCAGCACACCCAGCTGTGAAGCCCTTAAGTTACAATTTCCACATCATCCATTCCAGATGTGGTGAGAGCTGGCTCCACTGTCTCCTATGTGTATGATAAATATGAGCATACAGCCCTGCCCATGATGGACCATTAGAATGGGTCTTAGCTTCTTGAAATGGTTCGTACATGGTGGCACACACCCATAATCCCAGGACTTGGCAAACTGAGGCAGGAGGCTCCACTCAGGTTTGGGGCCAGCCTGGGCTACAGTGACTTCAAGGCCAACCTGAACTACATAACAAGCTTGTCTCAAAAAAAAATCTGAATTTTTTTTTGGTACTGGGGCCTTGCACTTGTGAAGCAGGCAGTGGAACCACTGAGCTAAATCCCCAGACCCTAAGAAAAAAAAAAGTTCTTGAAACGGAAGCACAGTCATGACCCAATCTCCCCATTGGGAAACAAAGGCCTAGCAACATTGCTCAAAACCCTATTAAAATTCGGTTTCCCTGGTCCAGGATTCAGCTCAGTGGTTCTGCTGCCCAAGTTTGATCCACAGTACTACAAAAAAAAAAACAATTGTTTCCCCAAATGTACACTTTCCCCTCTCTCTTGGACTGGTTTCTGGGGCTTCTCAAAGATCTCCAAGTCTTCATGTCTGAGCAAATCTAGTGACACCGGCAGGCGAGGTAGTCTGAAGAGACTCACGGTTTCACCAACTGCTTCCTTGTGTAAGCTCCTGCCACCTTCCATACGATCCATGCTGCCCACCAGTAGACACCCAGAACTGGAAGTAGCTCTCTGCCTGCAGAGGCAGGAGCCAGCAAGCCACTTCCAGGAGATGCCAGTGTTGACTACAGGTGATCTCTTCTTAGGTGGCTCAAGAGCCACCCTGAACAAGTCGTGCACACGCTCTAAACCAACACAGACCCAGTGTTTCACTGCATGCTGCCACTAAGGCTGCCACACACCCTCACCAGGGCTGCACACCCCTGGGGCCATTCTCTGCCACAGTTGCATACAAAGCCTGGGCTGTGATGGGGGAGCCCCAGAGCCAGGAGCATAGGCACCTACTCCAGATCAGCCTGAATGGGTCAGGGAAGTGATAGGTGAAGCACGATCAGCATCCTGGAGAAAGGCAGCCTACCTGTAATCCCAGCTACTCAAGAAACTGAAGCACAATCTTTGAGTCCAGGAGTAGCAGGACAGTCTGGGCAACATACCAAGACCCAATCTCAAAACAAATACAAAGCTTTTACAGAGCTGTACACTCCCCTAAGGCACCTTCATGATTCCTGAACTTTCATCTTTGCACTAAGACCCCACCCAATTCAAAGACCCAGTTTCCTTTAATGCCAACTTCCCGACCCATAGGGAAGGGACCAACGTGGACTGGCCCGGGGGACATTAGGGGCTCACCATGTATCCACATCCCCCAAAAAGCAGATGTGCCTGGATGCAAGCCTGGCCTGCTCGGAGATCTTCCTCATGTTTACAGTCACCCTGCACAAGTTCCGTTCCCTGTGGAGAGCCCGCCCATAACCTCACTGCCCCATGCCCTCGCCTCTGCAATGTCCCTCTGGCCTTCTAGCTCTGCCTGGTGGACCAGAGTTCGGCCAAGGCAGTTTCACAGGCCGAGATCTCCTTAACCCCTGCTCAAAAAAGACCCCATCCAGTAGGTGGAGGAGGTCTCATTACAGACAGGGAGTTCGCTGTGTGCAGCTTTGAGGTAAACTTTTATTTCTTGGCTGACAGGACTTTCACACCCATGATCCTCCCAGCACCTCACTCTGCCCAAGCAGCAGCGGCCCGATCTGAAAGGTGCCATAACCAAAGGGGTTGGGGAGCCACTTCACATTCCAGGCTGGAGGAGTTGGGTTGGTTGGGCCTTGGGGCTACTGCCCTCTAACCCCAAACCTATGCCAGCAAGAGGCCATGACTCACCTCAACCCCAAATCCTGCCTCCCAGATCTCCACAACCAGTGGGGTAATGACCAGACAGGACAGAACACAGGCTCTCGGCTTCAGTAAAGGTGGCCCCCAACACTGGCTACTGCCCATGTCACAACCCAGCCCCCTCATGGGGCAGCAGGTCTCTCCTCATTGGTCCTCATTGAAGCCCAGAGCCCTCCATACCAGGTGGGACAGAGGCAAGCCAGAAGCAGCAGCAGAGGCAGAAAAGGAGCAGGCACCCAGACTGGCAGGCTGCTGAGAGGGCCCCGGGCTCTCCTGAAGTCGGTTGAGCAGTCGGTCCATGCAGCTCTGGGGCTGGCCACTAGGTGGGCGTGGTCGGCTGTGATACAGGTACCTGGACACCTTTCTGTCCAGATGCTGAGGGCGAGAGGCAGGAAAATGTGTCATCAGGGAAGGGAAAAAGAGGCCAAAGGAAACCTGGGAAGATGGGGAAAGGATCAGGAAGAAATGGGGCTCGTGGTAGGGGTACAAGAAAAGGAGGTTGGCTTGGAAGAAATGAGGATGAATGAGTGGTAGAACTAAGAAACTGCTAAGGGGGATGAGGATGTAGCGCAGCAGTACAGTGCTTGCCTAGCATGCACAAAGCCTGGTGTTAGATATGGGAGGAGGTATTATAATGAGGTGGCTAGGTGGCTTAAGGCCTATAAGAATACAGGAAGTAGGGAGGGACACAAGGCAGGAAGAAGCAGATACCTAGCTGATACTTGTCTTTGGCTGCTGCCCGCTCCTTGGCATCAAAATACCAGACAGTGATGGCGTACCTGGGGACCAGGGCAGCTGAGATGAGTTTTCTGCAATTCTAGTCACCATCTCCACAATGATTCAGTCTACCCACCCTTTTGAGCCACCTTCTTCTGTGCCCACACAGGCCCTCAGCATTTCATCATTTCAGAGTCACGGGGATGGGGGGGTTAGAAAACTTGGCACGGGGGAACACCTGAGCACATCCCTAGAAGTATGGGTCATACCTGGTGGTATAAGCTGGCTTCACTTCATGAGGGTTCCTTCGGTCAGACCAGAAAATGAGCAACCGGTCAAAGAGTGGCTCGATGTTGGCTACCACAGGCCGGCCCTCAGGGAAGATCTGCAGCAGGCCCCCATGCACCTGGGGACAGGCCAGAAGATGAGCCATCTGCTCAGCCTGGAGCAGCACCTTGCATTGTGCGTAGGTGCCCACCAGGGGGTGCAGCACACACCACTCCCTCCCACCACTCCAGCTCCTAAAATGAATGACAGCCCAGAGTGTGCATCGCCATGGAGATGGGCAGGAAGCTACTAAAGACAGGAAAAGGGGGAGTGTGTTCATAAGCAGCCAAGGCCTTTCCCAGAAAGTAGAGTTCTCACCACACAGTCAGCTAGAGAGGAGGTGCCATTTAAGAGAAAGGGCCCACAGATTGTAAAACCATCCCCCAAGGGTTGAGAGGAATTGGCTAGAATCTGAGCCGAGAAGAATGGAGTGGATGCATACTGCCCTACCTCCACACTCTACCTTAACATCCCAGTTCTGATTCAGGTAATAGATACAGGTGATGCAGCGCCCATCGCCGTGGGGATTGTCAACATGCCTCACGTACCCCAGTCCGTTGCCTGGGTAACACGCCACCATGGCCTGGCGGAGATGGAGGAAGGTGGTTTATTGAAGCTGAGAAGTGGTTATTACCCTTGCTCACCCCTTTCTGACTGTTGTCTTCCCTTTTATTTCTTGAGTGTCCTAGGCTCCAACCCCCAAAAGACATTCTCCTATTTCAGTCAAAAGTTGAAGCCCAAGTCCACCAGAAACCACAGTTTCAGGGCCTTTTCACCATACCCTGGACAAGCCACCGCAGGACAGGCTCCAAATCCCAACTCAGATATTTCAGTTTAAGCATTTTTCTGGTATGTAGACCACAGCCTCACTGCCCTAGGCCAGGGTTCTCCCCACCATGTGTGGACACTGACAATGTTCTGATGGACTGGGCTTGGGCTAACGTGGGACCTGTGTTGTTTAAAGGTTCTCCAGATAATTCTACTGTTTGACATTGTTATGCTGAGAACTTCTGCCCTTGACTACAAAGAATTTAACTAAATAAGTCATCTGTCCCATACACATATGAACAGGAACCAAACCTAAAGCCTGATAGAAAGAAAGATCTAATTCTAATTCCAAGCTTGCTGGACAACTCTGGACAGCCACATCTCCTGAATAGACTTCAGCTACTGCAACTGAAGAATAGGGCTAATAGACACCTGTTTGCAGCAGTAGCATTAAGCCCTCTGAGAATATAACTTTGGAAGTTCCAGACCACTAGAGGTCTAACAGGTAGGATTCACCCCAGGTCTTGGCTTCAGAGTTCTTGTTTACTCTGACACTGATACTCCCCCAGCCCAGCCCTGATCACACTGCCTGAGGGCCCTGAGATGTCTGTCACCACCGGTTAATAGGAAGGTGACTGCGCTGTAAAAGAAAGAACCCAGCCACATTTGCAGACCCAATTCTGCGGGAAAGGAGCTACTGAGACCTAGCTCTTAGGGCTGCCACACAAGATGTGACATTAGGGAGGTGTCTTCATTTCACTGCCTCAGGTTCTTCACTCATGGGAGGCAACTAACACTACTTCACAGGCTGTTGTGGACACTGAACAAGATCAAAAATGCCTGGGATGAACCAAAACACAAATTGAAACCATTAAAAGAATGAGAAGTCCCTGTCCCATTCTGTGCCCAAACCCACCGGGAGGGATCGATGAGGCACTAGGCAAATAGGACATCAGCCAGCATGAGGACCCTTCAGCTTCCCCCCCGTCAGGGACCACCTGTCTTGATCCTGCTACCCAAGGCTTCCCAGAAATGCTCAGCTACACCCATGGGCCTGGCCCAGCAGGACAGCCCCAACATAAACATTCATGATCAAACAGATCCGCATATACCGCCAAAACAGGAGGCTTGCCAAGGATTCCAAGACAGGACAGACTGATTCAACCCCTCATCCTCCTCCCAGGTTCCTCTCAGAGTTCACCCTACATGGATGTTAGACTGTTTTTGCATCAAACATATACACCTGATCCACTCCACAACCTGACCCAGGAAAGAGGCCAGGAGACTGGCACCAGCAAAGACCACCCAGCAGTGGAGGACTGATTGTCTGGCAGCATCAGGATACAATGTGAGAGGGCCCTCAAGGAAAACCCCGGCCCCTAAACCCCAAGGTTCAGAAGGGGAAAACTTTGCCCTCATTGTTCCCTGAAGACAGGATGGCACTCAGAACAACTACTTACCAGGAGAAAAGAATGTGGCCGTGGGCCTTGTGGCCTGCAATTGATGAGTCACCGATTGGAGAAGGAGAAAGCCTCCCCAGATGGGACTCCAATCACAATCACACTGGCTCTGCACATGGATGGACATGTGAAGGGCAGTGTGCACCCTCTTTCCCCAACAATCCATCCCCACAAAGCAGCCACAGACCCTTTTCTCCAGGTTTTCAACATACCCCAAGAAAATACGAAGTCCCAGTCACAGCCACAAGCGTACTCTGCCCCTCATCACTCTGCTCTCAAGTTCAACAGACCTCTTCCCCACTTCACAGCCTACACACCTGCCAGGGACACTTTCGCCTGCTCTCCTTGTTATGAGGTCTCAGGTCAAAGGTCGCTTTAAGTCCTCTAGTTGTCTACTCCACTGCTGTCAACATGAGGCACCTGTTTACCCAGCACTGGTCTCAAAAACAGCTTCATCAAAAGCCCCCAGGGCCAGGCCTGTCACCCAGGGGCCCAGGGCACTATCTGCTGACTGAGAGCACCCCTCCAAACCCCATCCCAGGAGGGAAAGCCTCAGCCACAGGGACAAGGGGCAGAGGAACAAGGGATCTTACTCTCTACCCCTCCCACTTCAGCAAACAGGCAGGGGCAATCAAGAGGCAGAATACTGTGAGACTAAGGATGACAGTGAGCCAAGACCCCTACACCTCACACACACATACAACTCAGAAGCCAGAGACTCAGCAAAACTGCTCCTAAAGGGGTAAATCAAATGAGGTGGACCATCTCTGGTGTCCCCCTCTGGAAGTCCTTGTCACCACGAGGAGTGAACTCTCAGCTCCAGGTCAACTGAGCAAAGGGACGGGGGAGAAGAGGGAAGGTACAACAGAACTCCATTCAGGAATGACTTGAGCAGCAAGGTCACCACTGGTAGTTACCGCACTGCTGTCTGTCTCCACTGCCACCACCTCTACCCGCCCTCAGCACCAGCCACACTCCAGAATCCAAGGAGAAGCCCAGACACTGCCCTTGAGACCCTGGAGCCTGACGTTGCTGCAGAGGAAATCCAATGACTGGACTGGCTCTTTCCCTCCCTTCCCCATCCAACCTGGCCTGTTCTTACTTCCCCAGGAAGTAGGGGCAACCAAGGGTGTTTAAAAAGCCAACAACTCCCCTCCTCAATTTTAGACTGGGTCCTATCCATAACAGCACCTAGGTAAGAACCAGAAGCCCCAAAGGGGAAGCCATCTGTTTCAACTTTCCCTCCCAAATCTGCCACAAACTAGGTGAGGACCTAACCTGGTTTTCCTGTTCTGTGGATGAGTAAACTGAGGCTCGGTGCTGTATCACCCTAGTCCACTCAGCTCTTCTCGACTTCCCTCCTGCATGGAGGACTGTCACCAGGGTGCAAGGGCTGAGCCAGAGGCCACACTGATCTTGCCTGCACAGAGGCCAAGCCAGGGAGGGGCCAGCTCTGCCTCACCAGCTATCAAATAACAGGAGGGAGAGGGAAGTAGGACAAAATCCAGCTGGGGTGGGGAGGAAATAGGCTTGGACCCTGAAGGAGCCTTGGTCCCCAGGCCAGCCTGAGAGGAAAAGTTGCACAGAAGCAAAACTCAAGATGGCACCTGAGAGGAGGGGACACCAGGAGCACAGCCTCCAGCTCACACGACAGAACCCGGCCGATGCCATCATCTAGGTATCATGTAGGTATCATGTACTAAGCAGCGGGCATTCCCACAGGCCTAGTTTGTGGACTCACCCCTAGTTTGTGTGACTCACCCCTTCCCAAGAGAATGATCAGGTCAGCAGGCTGGAAAGGTTCCTATATAGGCCTCCAAGCCGATGCCATCAGCTAGGCATCATGTACTAAGCAGCGGGCATTCCCACAGGCCTAGTTTGTGGACTCACCCCTTCCCAAGAGAATGATCAGGTCAGCAGGCTGGAAAGGTTCCTATATAGGCCTCCAGGCCCTAGTTCTTGAGACAACTGGGGACCTATGAAGCCCTGACAAATTGTCCATGAACGCCCAGGAAATAAACCTTTGGTTTACATGAGGGTCTATAGCTTTTTGCAAGATCTCAAAAAGGCTCAGTCTCCAAAAGGTAATTAAAAACTACTACTCTATTGCGCGAGTAGGGGTATTAAAAGACACAAAGGCAAGGGAAGAGACAAGAAAACAAGAGGGGAATGAGGTAACAAACAGGACAGAGAAATGGAAGACAAAGACTAGGACAAGGAGGGGTGGGAAAGATGGGAAAAGAAACTAGCTGGGCCAGGAGGTAAACAACTGGACGATGCCACCATCTTCAATGCAGATCCTGTAACAGGTCCACGGACAAAACATAGTCATGACTGGTACTCAAAACAGCAGGGAACACCCACCTCCTGAACTTCAGGATTACCTCACCACTGCAACCCTTCCCCCCACCACCCCACCTTCAAGTTCTCCTATGTGAGAACCAGGATGATAACACACGCCTGTGAACATGGACAGACAAGAGGACAGGGCAACAGGGATGGACAAGACCAAAACATTAGCCCATCTACACTGACTGTGCTCAATCTGGGGTCCCTAAACAAATACCTGGAGCCAAGAATCCCACCATAACCCATACACAAGTGTGGGGCTGGGTCAGCAGCTCTCACCAGGTTCTCCAAGAGGATTCCTGTAAGGTCAAGAACCACTGTGGCTCCAGGATAAACTTCTGATTTACAGGTGCATAAATCAAGGCCCATGGAGAGGAGAGAGACTCCCTCCCCAGAATACCCTCTTCCCAGATACATGTACCCCTCAGCTACAGCTGCCTAAACCCTTTTGAGGACACTGAAGCCTGTCCCCAACGCTACTCTTGTCAGAGCACCAAATACTCAACAAAAAGTACTCCTGCCAGGCTTGTTGGTGCTGCCTACAATCCCAACACTCAGGAGGATAAGACAACAGAATCACCACAAATTTAAGACCAGCCTGGACTACACAGTGAGTTCAAGGTCAGCCCTACCTATATAGCAAGATCTTGTCTTTAAAAAAAAAAGGTGCGACCCCCCCCCACAAAGCCCCCACCAAGGCTTACCTTGGTGCGCCCGTTGATGACGTAGTTGCCCAGCCTCCCAGCACAATGGCGAATTACAGTGTCCACATGGGCCATGAGGGCACCGATGCTCCAGCAGCCTGGCTCGTGACCCTCTACCCAGGCAATCTGGTCCCCTCGAATGCTACTTGGCGGGATGGCCCGCTGGCTCACTAGCTGCCCATCACGCAGGCGCCCACCCCACCTCAGGGCCTCTACCTCAGCCAGCACACGGCCACCTAGGGCTGCTCCTAAAAAATTGTCCTTGACGCAGATGCCATAGTACCGCATGCAAGGCACAATATAATCCAGGGCCAGGCGCTCAGGTGCAGAAGGCAGAGCTTCCGCCCTCAGCCTAGCACCCACTTCTCCACTACTGCTACTAGTGCTGCCACTGCCACTGCCCATACCTCCCTCCCTCTCTGCCTCCTGGTTCTCTTGCCTGGCCCAAGACCGCTTGGCAGGTGAAGGAGCATCCCCACCATCCTCTGCCCACTTCCGTTTTGGGGCCTCAGGCCGGGCACCCTGGGCTGCCAGTCGCTGGCACTCCTTGGTGACCAGTGCTGCAGCACCCTCACTCTGCAGTGGCCACAGCTCGCCACCATCCTGCCCACCAAAGCCCTCCCGCAGGGGGCTGGCAGTGGTGGAGGTGGCTGTGGCTCTGAGGGTCCCACTCCCTGCCGAGGCTTCACCAGGCACTCCTGGATGGTGGCAGGAGGGTAGCAGGGGACAGGGCAGGTAACTCTCCACCCCCATCCTGGGCCGGCTGGACTCCAAGGACTCGGACAAAGACACCGGCAACTGAGGGAGAGACGGATTCAGGGCCTGCGGCTGGCACGGGCTGTCCATGGCAGCAATGTCTTCATCCCCCGGGCATGGAGGGCACGGCCAGGGCCCATGGTGCCACCCAGCGCCTCCTGCTCCTCCTGCTCCTCCTCCAGTTGATACAGCTGGGGGTCGCTGGGCTTGGCGCAGGGCAGGGCAGAGCGAGGCAGCAGGAACTCCTCTTGTGCCCTAGGGATGCTTGCTGGTCCCCAGGTCCGCTGTTGTCTCTAGATGCTTAAGGTTGCTGCAGGGAAAGGAAGAAAAGAAGGGACATGAGAGCAACTAGAAACAGGCAAGCTAAGGGACAGGTAGATAAAAGCAAGATGACCAGGATACACTAGGCCCCAGTGACCCCCCCACAACCAGAGGCCAAGTGAGAGAGAGAACTCTGAGAATTTAAAGGGATACAGCTGACAAGCACAGGACAGTGAAGGATAAGAGCCAGAAGAAATAGGTAGATGACCAAAGACAAAGAACAGTAATTTAGGGGGAGGAAAAGTACCCACACAGAAGCGGGGGGGTTTGGGTAGAAAACAAACGGTGTGGGGTGAGAGGAGCAGGAGAGATGCGCCTGGGGGCTCGAGAGACACGGAAAAGTGCGAATCTACACTGGGGGATACAAGAAAGTCTGAGCTGGGAGCGACCAGGAGGCAGAGGAAACTGGGGAGTCCACAGACAAAGAGAATGTGGCCCCCACAGACAGAAAAACAGACCGGAGGGAAGGCCTGAGGCGGCCAGACCCAACAGGGGGGTAGGGTCGACCTGCGCCCAACCCGAGGAAGCCTCCGGGGGACGGACACACACCCAGACGGAAGGGAGGTCCGGAGGGAGACGGACAGGGGGAAGGGGGCCCGAGAGGAGGGTCCACGGCAACCCAGGGCGCGCGCACTGGCCGACCGGACTAGTGAGAAGGCGCCCCACTCCCAAGCTCCGGCTGTGCAGACCCCAAGGCCCCATCCGGCACAGAGGGCGAGAGAAGCCGGCCTAGGACCGCCCCGAC